AAAGGACAGTTATACCACACTTGTAGGTGCCATTATTTGATGGAAAATATGTTGATATTTTCCCGGAAAACATGTACGGGAAAATATGTTGATATTTTCCCGTACATGTTTCCAGATGTTCATGGTAAGCAGGGCCAGATTGTTTAATGGGAAGATAGGCAAATATTTCTCCATACATGTTCCAAGATGATCATGTATGCAGGGCCAAATTATTTGATGGGGAGATAGGCTGACACTTTCCCGTACGTCTTCCCAAATGTTCACGTATGCAGGGCCAAATTATTTGTTGGAAAGATAGGTTGATACTACCCCATGCGTGTTTCGAGATGCACATGTACGCAGGTCCACTATGTGCAAAGTTATTTTCTGAAAAAGTAACTCAGATTTAAATTTCAAATATCACCTTTGACTAAGCTTTTCGCTTTAATTTTAGTTATCAGATATAGACCTAATTTTCAGCTTCAGCTTTCAGTTATCAATTTAAGATCAGTTTTCAAAATTAATTTTAGCTTTCAGATTATTTAATATTTATTATGTGAATTGCCTTCTCTACTTGCTGCATTTTATTATAATTATATATAGCCTAGACTAGGCGTGTCCTCCACTAAGAGGGTTATCAATGAGACTTTTTGGATATTCTTGGAGATACTTAGCCCATTTAGGCATGTGTAACGATCCGACCGATCGTTTTGAGCATTGCATTCTGTTCGATGGTTTGAGAGTATGAGTAGATTCGTATCATGTATTATGATTTGTGTGTATCGTCGGTTTATATTTTTGGGTGATTCTGGATCAATTTGGAAGAATAATTCTCATTTTAGAAGCTTTAAGTTGGAAGAGTTGATCAAATTTGATTTTTGAGTATTTGACTCCGGATCGAATTTTTGATGGTTTCGTTAGGTCCGAATGGTGATTTTGGACTTGGACGTATGCTCGGATTTGTATTTAGAGGCTTCTAGAAGATTTTCACTATGATTAGCGAACGTTGGCAATTCAAATGTTTGGAAGGTTCATAAGTTTGACCTTTGAAGTTGACTTTGATGATATCAAGTCAGGATTATTATTCTGAGAGTTAGAATAGGTTCGTTATGTCATTAGGAACTTGTGTGCAAAATTTGAGGTTATTCCGGGTTGATTTGATATAATTTGGAACGAGTTTTAGAAGTTAAAAGTTTAAAATTTTATAAAATTTGATTTGAGGTGCAATTCGGGGTTTTGATGTTCTTATGTGTGATTTGAGACCTCGAATAGGTTCATGTTATATTTTGGGACTTGTTGGTATGTTCGGACAGGGTCCCGAGGGGCTCGGGTGAGCTTCGGGGTAGTTTCGGATCATTTTTAGGCCTTTTTCAACTGTTGGTTTTTGTCTACAGGGGTGTACATCCCAAAGCTCTGGGACGTGATCACGAAGAGTAAAAGGGAAAATTGGACATGTGAATTGCGTTCACGAAGAAGAAATTCTTGCTATCACTTAGCTGACTTGGAGAGCTTATATTTTGCAATCTATAACGTATTTTGAGGTGATCTAAAAACAAAAGTTGTAGCTCTTTGTTTCTAATTTTCAGAAAATTAAACTTTTTGTTATTTGGAGTTATGTACAAAAAGTTATGGCTAAAACACTACAGATTGTCTGGGAAGTATTTGCAAAGGGTTAATGGAATTTGTTCATCGCGATCGCGGGAAAATGACCGTGATCACGAAAAGTAAAAGCTGTGCTGGACAATTTTAGAATCGCAATCATGAGGTTATTGACGGGGATTGTGTAGGGTACCACTGACAGTGCATATAAGTACTCCATATCGGACCTTTGAATTATTTTATCACATTTTGAGTTTGAGAGTTCGGATTTGGGCAATTTTGAAAAGGATTTTCACCACATGGATTGGAGTAAGTACTATCTACTCGGATTTGATTATATTTTATGATTCTATCTTCAATTTTGGCATTTGATTGATAATTTTAGAAGAGAAACTGGGAGTTTTTGTCTAAACTTTTTTAAAGTGAATAATTGAGTTCTGAACATCGATTTAGAGTCGGATTTGAGTGAAATTAGTATAGTTGGACTCGTAATTGAATGGGATACTAAAATTTGTGATTTTTTTTGGTTTCAAGGTGCGGGCCCGGGGTTGACCTTTTGGTTGACTTTAGACTTTTGATTAAAGATTCGACCTTTTTCGTTTGGGTTTGTTTTCCATGGCATTATTTGATGATTCTATTGCTTTTAGCTAGTTTTGAACCGTTCAGAGGTTGATTTGCATGGGATGAAGATTGTAGAGTATTGTTTGGCTTTCTTGGCATTTGATTTGGCTTGTTTGAGGTAAGTATCTTATCTAAACTTAGTTAAGGCGCTAGTTGCCTCAATTATTTATGATAGTTACGTGCTATAGGTGTGCATATATGTGGGGTTGAGCCCATGTGCGAGCACCGGGGTATTTATCAGTATTCGAGGTAGTGCTTAGGCTATGATTTGCCTAGAATTGACTGTTAATCTTTAAGCTATGATGTTTCTCATATTTGTAACCTTGTTGTGAACTATTTGACCCATGTTTGAGGTTACATAGAGGTTAATTCCCTGAATAAACATGATAATTGTTATTATGTGATGAAATTATCGATTTGAGCTATGATAGCACACTTTGCACATTCCTACACTTTAGCATGCATTTATACTACTCCAGGAGCATGAAATTTGATATTCATTCACCATATACATGTATAATCGTATATCTGCTTTTGTATAATATGATTTGGACTAGATGCTTGTGACCACGCCGGACGGATTGTGTTATTATGCTTGTGACCATGCGTGGGAGGATTGTGTTGTTATGCATATAACTACGCCGGATTGTATGTGTTGTTATGCCTGTCACTGTGCCAGGGGAATTGTGTTGCTATCCCCGTGACCACGCCGGACAGATTATGATATAGCTTGTGACCATGCCAGGCAGATTATGATATTGAGCCTCTAACCATGTGGGCTGATTGCACGTTGAATTGGTCGTGCATGCGTGCGGATATGGATCCATCCCCCTAGGATCACCCTCTCATGTTTCTCTCTTGATGGCACACACGTAGATTATGAGAAACCGAAGTTGATGTGACTTCTGGGAGAGCTGGTTATTGGTTTGGTTCATGATCTGGGCAGAAGAGCGATGATGTGATTTCTATTGGGATAGGGTTGCGCACACAGATTGATATTTGGTTATTGCATATCATCATTATTTGTAATTTTCTTGACTTTTTACCTAATTTACTTGCATATCTTCCTTATATGATGGATTGTCGACCGAGCAAAACACATTAAAACGAATTATGAGCACCAAGGTGGTTTTATTTGTGTTTTCCTGATTTGATCATATATATGTTCTATACTTTTTGGAATTTTATGAACTTGTACAAGTGATTGTAAGTATCATTTATAATTCTTGCTTCTATTACCTCGTTGAGGTAAGTTATGATACTTATTGAGTACATGTGGTCGGTTGTACTAATACTGCACTTTTGCACCTTGCATGCATATCCTGGAGTTGATGCTGTTGCGTACGGGGGAAGCCGACGTTGAAGATGTACCTGCATTCTGGTTATGTCTACCACTTGTCCTTGGTAGCTTTAGATTTGAATTCTATTTATGTATAATCCAAACAGATGTTGTATTACTTCGTACCAGCTTGTAAATCTGATTAAGTCTTAGTGGCTCGTGACTTGTACTACCAATCCTTGGGTTATTATATAGAGATTCAGTTATTTCACTTATTGATTCATATTATTCTTATTTGAATTGTGTTTAGTGTTATTTCTCTTACCTAGTCAGTTGAGTTAGGTGTCATCATGACTAGTTGGATTTTGGGTCATGACTGATATGTCGAGGAAGAGGCAAACCCCAAAATAAAGAAGATAAAGAACACCGAATTTTAACGTGAAAAACCCTTCAAATCGAAGGTAAAAACCACGGAATTACAAAGATCCAAAAAAGCTCCACTATAATAATAAGAGGGTTACAAAAGTTCTCCAAATTGGCTACACAACAAGTGTCAAATACGGAGCAACAATAGCAACAAGAGCAACAACTAATCAATTGAAGAAAGAGGAGAATCCACAAAAACGAAGCTGTTGTTCGAGGCTCAAAATTAGATGTTAAAAGCCTTCAAATCCAATCTCCACCGTTCAAATCAAACACCAAGATGTTACAAATAGTTAGACAAAATTTCAGTCCAATTAAACGATTAATGAATCAGAAAAAGTGATTTAAAGTTGTCTGGTCGGAATAAGAATCTGCAGCAACACAAATGCTTTTCTTCTCTCTTCTCTCTTGATGAAAGCTCTCTCAAAAATCACTCTTATGTGATTAAGACTTTCAAAGACCTGTATCAATGAGCATAGAATAATTCTTCAATGTGGTCATATTTATAGATCATGAGTGGTGCTTGCCTTTAAAGCCAAAACCAACTTTAAATAGGAACAAACACTGAATCCA